CTGTGTGTGTGTGTGTGTGTGTGTGTGTGTGTGTGTATATATATATATATATATATATAATGTTTGTGTATATATATGTATGTATGTATGTATATGTATGTATACACACACACACACACACACACACACACACACACAGACACACACACATATATACCCTAGCAGTGCTACCTGGTTCGTTCAGCTCCTCTTAACTGTAACCTGGATTTCTGAAACGTCCTGAAAATAAGTACTTTATCCCAAAATCTTACTTCCTGGTCTGAAAAGTACCCCCCCACCTTCTCACATGCTTAGGACACGTGTTTGCAGGCATGAGGCAACGGCATTTTGCACCTGTTCGAAGGTCCTCCTCTCTTTAGTCAGTATTAGGGCAGCTCCCCGAGGAGTAAGCAGCTCTGATGAAAATTAAACCCTGCCTGCCTGCCAATCTCCTACTGGTACCCCCATTTCTGCAGCCACCTATTTCCCACTTGCAGACAGCCCTGAATATTGTACGCCGTCCTCGTTACACCACCTTCCCCTCCATTGTGAAGAGTGACTCTTAAGGGCTCCCTTATCCCCGACTTGAAAATAATAATAATTAATAAAAGCCGTCGAGGGAACCGCTCCCCCCCCCTCTCACCTTCACACCCCCCGCAGAGCCCCTCAAGGCCGCCCTGGAGAATCAAAAAGCTGAACAATCTTCCGGGAGCTGATTGGACGAGTGGACGCAGCTTTAGAACGCAACCATAAGTACTCTCGTGGCGATTGGCTGTAGGAAGGAAGCTGCTCGATAACTTTGGCGGTGGATTGGGTAAGGCGGAGAGCAGTAAGCATATCCCTATGTGCATATTGGTTAGAGAGAAAGCGAAGGAGCTGTTCAGCCTGGGTGGTGATTGGCTCGCGGGGAAATCTGACCTCGCCGCCTCTTCTTAATGCACCAATGGCGGACCTGCATTCGGCTGTGTTTGCTCAAGTTCGCTGCGGGAGGGGTGGAAGTGCTGTTTTCTGCGGAGGTTGGTGGTTGCTTTAACGGACGGAAATGTGAAGTAAAAACTTTTGGTCTTTAGGTTTTTTAAAGCGCCCATGTTTGCGCTTGGCTTAGTTAATCGGTTTCTGAAATTAATTATAGCCAGTAACTGTAAACTACTACTCTGCACAATCCTGACTTTTTAAATATAAATCTAAACTCAAGTTTCTGGGCCAGCAGTCTTAACCAGTACATCAAACTAGCAACAATCTGCATTGAAATTCATTAATTGATATTATGAACAGCATGGCACATAATAAAGTCTATTAACACTTGGGAAACATAACGGCTCCGTTGTTGAGGGGGCATTAAAAAAATCTCCCTTCAATTGAGTATTTTTAAAAAAAATACTTGTGAAATAATAAATTGATGTAATTATTTAAATGTTAAAATGTAATCACAGATTATTCCTATATTTTTTATTTTATCTTTTAAGAATTACAGTTCAGTGGTGCCTTTGGGAATGGCTCTGCATTCATATCCAGGGAAAGATAGCAGCATTGAAGTCTGAATGCAAAAACAGACACAAAAAGATGAACCCAAAAACAGACAAAAAGCAAACAGGGTGTGGTTAAAATTTTAGTTTCTAAACCTTTTTTGAGATTAAACACTTAAAATCTCAAATGTTTGTATCATTAAATATTAAATATGATCCTTTTTTGTGTTTTTTGTTTAATAAAAACAATAAAAAACTTTTTAAAAAAATCTCAAATATGTTGTTTGGATCTACCAGTCCCACAAATCAAGATTTTGAAGAAACAATTGTCTAATTCAAAGTGGTATTAATGATTTTTGTGGGGAAATGCATCAAGGCAATTTAACCTCCCTTTTTTTTCTTGTTTTCAGACCTTACAAAACATTGCTCTGTTCAGATTATTTTTGAGGTACATACAGGTAGTGTTTGCTTAGCTACTGGCTGAAGTTGCAGTGGATCTCCCTAAGCATTGTACAATCCATTTTCGAAGTTCTGATGGGTGCACCTTTCCGGGTCCTGTGATTGTATTTTGGCACTTGGCAGCCAACTCGCATTTAGAGCCATTTGCAACATCCCATAGTCTGTGATTTTTGATAGATTTTTCTGGGTTCCAGCATTTACTTTTAGTTTTTGTCAAAAAGTAACCATTACTGAGAACAGGTTTGCTTAATGGCCACCACTAAAAAGGTTGTAAAGTCAGGCGCAGTCTTGTAGTGACATACTTAATGACCACTATTATATATGACTGTAATTCTGGGCTCAAATACAATGGTAAGTTGAGAACTATCCTGAAAGGTTGAAAGGTTCTTGAGTCTTTTCCACTTCATAAATAATACTTCCGCCATTAGTTTTCATGATAAAATAAAAATGTTTTAAAAGATTCATCCCAAAGAATACAACCATACAAAACATAGACAGTATAAATTTACACAAATTATTTGCATGATTAAATTAAACTACTAATTAATTTTATGAACTTGACAACTATTTTAAATTAATAAAAATACTGTTCTAAAAAAGACAAATATTCTCAAAATGAAGGAGCTACAATTTCCCCTTTCCTCCTTGGAATTATTGTAAATGTCTGAATATGTAATGAATAAAAGTATTCATGAAATACCTTTAATATTTAAAGGTATTAAATGATTGAAATATATGGTAGCCTGAGAAGAACAAGATATCACTGTTCTCTGTGGAATAGTAGCAAAATCTGACCTTTGGAAAAAAATATCTTGCATAACCATACAGCTCAAACCTTGCATAAAAAAACATACTAATATCCAGTCTTAACTCCCAAAGCAAATGCATATTCATATTAATCTGAATATCAGCCATGCAAAATATAATTCCATTGAATATTCATGCTTGAGCTGCAGTGGATTATGTCCCATTCAGGTTATCTGTACTGATCACGCATATTTAGAAAATAGCAACAATATCTGGACAACAAGAACAGGCAAAAATGAAGATAGATATAATATGGTAGAAAATGGAGGTAGCTTGGTATGAATCAGTGTCATTAATTCATGGTTATACTAGTTTCTGGCTTAATAATGGAGCTAGTTCCTTCTCCAATACTGATTATATAATAGCAGTGATGGGAAAATTGGACTAGTATTCATATCGTTATGAACAGCAATTTCCCATTTCCCAGTATGCAGTGGAGTACCCGAAAGCTCTGTTTTAGGCCCAGTACTCGTCAACTTCTTCATCAATGATCTGGATGAGGGGATAAATGGGGAACTCATCAAATTTGCCAATGACACCTGCAGGAATAGCCAACACTCCAGAAGATAGGCTTAAGATACAGAAGGATCTTGACAAACAAACATTGGGTACTACCTAACAAAATGAAATTCAATGGTGAAAAAAGCAAGGTTCTACATTTAGGCAAGAAAAACAAAATGTACAGGTAGTGTAGGTAGTACCTTGCTCAACAGTGAGAGGGATCTTGGAGTCTTAGTGGACAACCATTTAAATATGAGCCAGCAACATGCAGCAGCTGCCAAAAAGGCCAACACAGTTCTAGGCTGCATAAAAGGGATAGA